CTTGATGACCCATAGGGTCCCTTTCAGCTCTGCAGTTCTGAGAGGATGATGATGATGATTAGTAGTAGTAGTGTTGTTGTTGTTGGTAGTAAAAAGCTATCCCAGACTCACATTCAGATACAGCTATCCTTTATTAATATCAGAGTGTTGTACAATTTAATATTATGGACATATATGAAATATAGGTAAAGTTCAAATAAATTTAAAATGTTAAAATTATTAGACTATTTTTTACCAGAAGTAAGCTGGTTCTTTAGTGTAATCTCAGCCATTAACTAGATATTTTTTAGTGCACGTGGTGGGACATGAATTGCATGCACATAAATGCTGCAGGTGGGATATAGAAGGAGCCTCCCTGAAATGTAGAAAGCATTGTGAGTGTTTCCCCGGGCAATCGCATGCAGCTGGCTAATCCTTCCTATCCAGAAGCGTTGAGCGTTGCACTGTAAACAGACACCCTTTATGCCTGAGACTCAAGTCAGAGAATTCCATCAAGGTGGACTTCTGTGAGGATTCCAAAGCCCATCACATCAGCTCTCTGAGGGAAGACCTACACGGCAGGAGTAGTCATAATTCTGGATTCGTTGCTATCCTAGCTGTTCTAAAACTGTGTTTATGAAGTTGATCTGGAAGTTGATTCATGACAACTGGACTTCTTTCTTGTTAGACTGAAGAAGCTGCTTGGATAAATAACGAAACGTTTCAACCTAACAAGAAAGAATCTTCACAGATGTATAAAGTTGATGAAGTGAACCAGGTGCTTCCAGGAGGGGTTGACATGTGAGACAGCCAAACTCTACACAGGCAGATGGGCAGAAAGTGCGGGAATCTTTTGTTTTGGGGTGGAAGTGCTGCATATGAATATCTTACACTGCTCAGATGGAAAAGTACTGAAACGTCTTTATTACGCTAAAGTTTTATTGCATTAAACACTTCAGCAATTTATTTGCTGAACAGCAAAACGTAAATATTCAAATTGAACATTCTGGAAATATACCGTTTCCCCAAAATTAGTATCCACTAATATCTAACCTGAAAATAAGCCTTAGTATGATTTTTCAGGATGCTCGTAGTATAATCCCTACCCCAAAAATAAACCCGAGTTAAGTGAAACCCCGCCCTCCACCATTGTGCAGCCACCAGAAGAAGATGACATGACTATATTTGAATAAATGTAGATTGTTGTACATGGAAAAATTAAAACATCCCTTACTGCATTTTTTGGAGCAAACATTAATATAAGAACCTGTCTTATTTTCGGGGAAACACAGTAAGATTGCCATTCACATCATGTTTCATTTATTATTTTACTCCATGCATGCAAGACCCATGCATATACAGAAGGAAACAGATTTGAAATATATCCCTTTTATCCTGAGAGCAGAATGCTGTCTAGGATTTGATATTAAAAAGTAAAGTGAGAAATCTGCCTCTTTGGTTCCCCTGCATGTTAACTGCTATGAGACCTTTGTGTGATAAATGGCCTTGAAGGCGCATTGCTCCCACTGCATGAGAACAGGATCAGGGGACTAGGGTGCTCAGCTGCCAGCACCCCACAGAGCAAGAACCTACTAAAATGCCATCTCCTGTTTTTGAATTAGTCAGCTGCCAACATACATGTTCCAGCACAGCTTTCAGAGTCAAATGATAGGCCTCTTTTTATCCTTCCCTTGCTGCTTTACACTGAAGCCAATTAACAGTTAAGCAGGTGACTTATCTTTCCTAACACTATAAATGAAGTATCCAAGAGACACTACACAGGACACTAATCATGTGGATCAAGGTGTTTTTTTAAATGCTTGATCTATCATGTGGGATTTTTTGCATCCTTCTGTTCCCAGTTCATCTGACCCTGAAGTTAGGTTTGGAATACAGTATGTGAATTTGACAGTGATCTACAGTGATTCTGTAGTAATGAGGCATTTTCTGATATGCTGAAATTCTGCTGTGAGGCTCTTGTTTATATTCACAAGGCTTCATTTGATACAGAAAGAATGGTGTACTTTTACATTTTTAAATGTATATGTAATTAATTTTATGAACTCAAAAACACTTGAGTTCTGAAGCATGTATGAAGGAAGATTTACAGTTACATTTATAGCTAAAAATTAAGCATTAAGCCACATTTGATCCCTTTTTGGGAAAATAGTGGGACAAAAGTAAAATAAGATAAATCTAATATAACACCTTAAGCACTTTTGCTAAGAAATATGTCACTGAATTAACTGGGGTTCAGACTGTAATCTTTTGAATGACTTCTTCGGAGTAAGCCTTGTAAATACAGTGAGATTAATTTTTGAGTAATCATGCATAAGATTGTACAGTACTGTATAGTAATTCTCAAGTAAACATGTTTAATATTTTAACCTACTTATGGGCAGAAAGTATTTTTACAAATCATTGTTAGAACTGACCCCTGCTATTGTGATACTGTAGTACTATTTTAAAATATCAGCTGGAATTTCATTTTGATTAATTTTTGAAAAAGAACTTAATGACACAGCTGTAAAATGTGCCACTTGACAAACAAGGATTTGAGAAAAAAGAAGAAATGCAACTTTATTATTGGTTGCCAGTTTTCAAGATCAAAAATCAAAATGAGCCCCTTTTCTTAATTTTGTTTAAAAAGATGTAAGTTATTTAAATTATTTGTATCCAGTCATTCAGTGGAAGTTTCTGATGCAGGTTTTGAGCCAAAAACACAATGAACAACAACTAAAGCTAGGCTGCAGTGAGAATAACAATAAAACATTGAAAAAGTGTGGGTAAAATATATTGTCAACAAGACATAGTTGCATTTGCTTCATCTGATATCTGAAGATAATTTAATGCACATCAACTTTACTAAAGTTTCCTCTTTTACACAACTATGGAAAGTATAGGAACTGTGATGTGGTCACCCTAAATTCTGTGCCACGATTTCTCCACTGAAAAGGCCTGCTGTTGGGTGTTACTCTTCTCTTCTTCAAAGGGCTTCTAATGGAGATCAGGCTATATCAGGCTTTATTGTTCCAATCCAGTACCTTGAATAAAACCCAGAAAAGAACTTGATTCTTGAAGTCTTTCAAATACAGTACCGACAAGTTACATTGCAGTTGTCCTGTATCAATTGGTAATTTAGCTTTTGAAATTTTGAAGTGTTTGAGGAATTTTCAAGTTCTACCTTATTTATAATTGACAGTTCTACTGTACCTTATTTATAACTGAATAATTGACAGCCAGCAGGTGGGGCTTTTATATTACCTGTCTCAAAAGCAAACTTTTCCCCAGTGCTACTAAAATGTTATTGAACAAAAGATTAGTTGTTGTTAGAATGGAAACAAGCAAAACCCTACTACCAGGCTTTTATATTACCTGTCTCAAAAGGAAACTTTGCCCCAGTGCTACTAAAATGTTATTGAACAAAACATTAGTTAGAATGCAAACAAGCAAAACCCTGCTCCCCAAATGAGACTGTTTTCGTTGTTAATATTATTGCAGTCACAGTGTACTAAAATGCCTGTAACTGTACAAGCCTTATTAACGTTAGTGGAATTTGTGCCTTTCAGCATCTTAGCTTTCTTCCTAAGATTACAGTTAATCAATAACTGCAGCACAGAGTAGGAAGAAAATGAGATTTTAATGACAATTACCGTGGTGAGATGGTGTGGAGCCCAAAGCCTGGGTCAGGAAGCTTTAGTAGGAGTGCCGTCTCTCCCCAAGGCATCAAGGGGGACACAGACAGCTCCACCACCCACTCCTCCTAGACTGACACATCGAGGAGTCGACACCCAGGACTTAGTGAAGGGAATGAGGGGGTTAACAGTGGCCACACAGACCGGCCCTGAAATGGCGGGAAAAGAGGAGAAAGAGCGGGCTAGGGTGGAGGGGGGAGCGGGGGGTATAAGGGGGAACCGGCGTTGGGAGCAAGTCCGGGTTCCTAAGCACAAGGTGGAGAATCGGTGAAAGAAGGGACCCCCTCAGCGTCCATCATACTGGGTTGAGTCCGAAACCCGTGAGTGGAGACAGAGGCTGAGAGAAGAAAAGGAGGCGGCAGAGAGGGGAAAGGAAGCCAAAAGAGCATGGCATTTGGAGGAACTGAAGAGACTGGGCTGCTTCCTGGACCTTGGGATTCCAACCCAGGGGAGGGATCGCCGATATGGGGGTGGTCCGGAGATGGTCTATGGGAGCATAAGTCTACGAACCCGTTTGAGACTGACGTGTTGTTGCCCCTGTCTGAGCCGCTGCTCCCTCAGGAGAAGTTCACCACAAGTTTTCATGATGTTCCTTTGCAGTTGCCGAAGTTAATAAATACAGAGACTTGTTTTGATTTATAGTCGTCTCCTGGTTTATTGGGGGAGAGGGAGGACCCGCTTATCGAACCTTCACATATGGGTCATAACTAAATTGAATGTGTGTGAGACTCTGAAGCAGCCTCATCCCTACTCTGGTCTTGAGCTAGCAAAATACTGTTTATGAGTTAGAACTGGCCACATAGATGGACTGAGGTTGTGCGTCTCCTGGTTGAGGTAGAAGCTTGAAAGTCACTGTAGAAATTGACCACTTTTAATATGTGTTTAATTTTCTTTTAATATTTTTATACTGACTGTTTTTAGCTTTTAAATATTGTCTTTTAATTGTTGTAAGCCACCTCGGGTCCTTTTAAGGAGAAAGGTGGGGTAAAAATATTTTAAATAAATAAAATAATAAATAAAAATGTAATTAGTCTCAATTCAAGGAAAGAGATCCTTGCAAAGCAGATAGTTCAGCATTGCTCCTGTATTTCAAATGGGAAATCAGAGTAAAACAATGTATTTGGGTACTATTAGTGAAATATATTGCATGTTAAGAATGTAAAATCACAGTACAGAGGAACAACCATTTGCTTTGTGAGTGCCTCTGGTGTTGTGATTGAAAAAGTGCCTTGTAGCGAACTGCAAGTCTGGAACAGAATTTTATTGGTGATGATTTCATCAGCTTTGAAATCTAAGACCCAATTCATTGTTTCAAATGTATTCCAGATGAAAAGCAAATGGAGGCACGTAAGAAAAAACAAAGAAAAAGACAAAGAAAGGAATCAGACAGCCTTTATGGTTCCACTGACTGTTTGCTGATGGAAATGCCGTTTGCTGAAGCTGATATTGAGGCAGAATTTAGTAGTAAGTATAGATCCTAATTCAGAGTTATAACTAGCTGCGGCTTCTTGGTTTCTTACAGTGAAGTTACTAAGCAAGTGCCATGTAGGCCATATTTCCTTATGTTTTCTGCTCTGACCTTTACAGTGACAAATGCCAATGTTATACAGTACTCCTGGAATGTTGGCCCCTCCGCTCCAAATGTCTAAATGTTTGCATCCTCCAACTACACAAATGTGTTTGGATGCCAACCTCATCACTGAAGACACTCCATGAACTAAAAGTTCTCTGTTTCCTAGGCCTTCCCTTTTAGGAAAATCTAGACACATACCCACAAAATGAAAAATACAGTAAAAATGTTAACCAGCAAACGTGGGCTTGCCTGGAATGCAGACTCAGAAAAATCAGTTAAAGGACTGGTTGTGGCCAGGACATTCTAGAACATGACTAACTGAAGCCTCACCAAGCATGTTGATAGTCCACATTGGGCTTGGTAGTGCTGTAATTTCCTCTAAAGCTACAAACACAGACACACACACACACACACACACAGAGAGAGAGAGAGAGAACATTCTTTCATTCTACAGTATACATTTCTGTTTTGCAAAATGTAGGCTTGCATCCATGTCTGAAGGCAGTACTCCTTCATTTGCACTGGAGGAGGGGACAGGGTGGTAAAAGATGGTGGGGCCTCCAAACCGTGTAAAGGATGGGGAAACTGGAGGCACCATCACCCATCCCACATTGTTCTGGTTTGTATATTATTTATTTATTCATTAGTTTCATTTTATGAGCCTTTCTTCCAGTAAGCCTAAGGAGGCAAACATACCTTTCTTCTATCTTGTATAATCTTGTAACAACCCTATGAGAGAGGTGAGACGGGGACTGTCCAAGGCCACCCAATTCATTCCATGGTTGGTAGAGCATGGGATGTGGTCCCAGGAGTAGAAGAAGTAGTCACAGCTTCAGCCCTTATTCCAGTGCCAGTTCTCTGCTAGTTACAGATTCCTTCCATGAACAGAGAGGAACCTTTTGTTTACAGAAGGACAAGTTTGTATAGAACCCATTATGACACAATTTCCTTTTAGTATGTAATATTTACCAGCATATATTATTCTGTCTACATTTGTGCAATATAATAACTGTTTTTTTCTTTTTCATCCAGCTGCAAACACAGGTAAAGTAAATATTAAAAAGAAGAGGAAAAGAACTGATGGTAAAGAGAGTGAAGAAGACAGCCGATCAAAGAAGAAAAAGAAGAGTCAAGATCGGCCAAATTACTTCATTTCAGTTCCAATTACAAATCCAAAGGTAGACCTATTCTTTTATTATCCTGTTCCTGGGAGGGAGGGCAAAATAATGTACAAATAATACAATTTTAGCTAGGGTTAAAAACAGTAGCTTGTGTTTTTTTTGTTATATGCATAGAAGCCTTGTTGATTATAAATCATTTTGTCTAGATATGTTTTTTCCTGTTCTTCATGCAAATAGGAATAAACAGGATTACTTTTAACAGAAGATTTAGAGGAAATCGGAAGAATCAGAGGAAAGATGGCCAGTAGAATGAATGAATAGAAGAAATAACTATAGCTCAGAAAGGCTGCTTTTTTGGACGGCAGTTTCTGGAATCCCGAAGCCAGCATGGCCAGTCGCCCTTCTAGCTGGGAGGTTCTGAGTTTTAGACAAAAAAAAAGTTTCTGCCATCTGGATATAACAGATATTCCTTCTCCTGTCTTAGTAGGAGAGTTCTGTTGGGTTGCTGTTTTTTCACATGTAAGAAAAATTGGATAGTGGAGTACTCAAAGTGAGTGCCATGCAGCCTCCACTTTGGAGAAGGTCTTGTTCTGCATTCGTCTTGTACAGAAGTAAAATGAATTGGGACACAGAACAGGGTGTTCCTATACAACTTTCCTAAAGAAGCTTGGCATACCCAGTCCCCTGGCTTTGGTTCAGTAATAGGTATAGCCTGATTTGCTCCCAAAGCTCTTCCCATTCTTGTGAGTTTAAAAAGTTAGCTTTGTTGACTGTCAGAATTGTTGAAAGAAGGCAGCTTCATAAACCATGGCTCAAAATTGGCTCCTTTCAAACTAAGCGTAGTGAAAATTGATGAGAGTTTGTTGGTTTGGATGAAATGACAAGTTGTGATTAATGACAAACACAACAGAAATTGAGTGTGGTCCTCTTCTTGTGACTAGGAAAGGAAGAGAATGAAGGAGCTTGCAAGCCTCCAGCTCACCCTGGTTCATTTCTATGATGATAAACCATATTTTACCACGACATCTCAACTAGTTCATTGCACATGTTTGAATAATGAAAAACTTAACTATATACTGTACCTGGATCTCTCTTTACACATCTCTACATCATTGCTAGAGGATATTATGGCTATTAAGGAACTCCTTTACAAGTGTTCTTTTTTAAGAAATAGCTTTCAGGCACAAGTTTCAAATAGAATTTTATTTTTGAGGTTTATTAGATTACTCCTTTAAATTTGATTATAATGTCTGATGAGGAAAATAAATTTTTGTGTTATTTAGTTTAGTTCAGGAAATTTCTCATCTACACAACATTCATGATAATCAATCCACTGCAGCTAATTTAATTTTTAATAATTCTACAGTTGAATTTAATGTGCAGCATTTTTTCTTGCTTAGCATCCTAACAAACAATGGGCTAAGCATGTTTTTAAAAGCTTACATTTCCTTGTATGATATTACTGGATGAAAAAAATAAAGTTTAATAATAGTATTTGCAAAGCCAACATCATTACCAAACTTCTTTTAATATAGCAGTTTGAGTGGTTGTCTTTATCATGACTGTACTAGCTACAGACATTGCAGAAATTGTAAACCCATAACACAAATAATGGAAGTATTTCTGAAATGGTACAGCTGTTCATATTGGCTGAAACCCTATTGCAATTGGTGTAGCATAAAATTACCCTGGTGGAAATTCACAAGGATTCATGTCCAGACAGTCCACATGGCATGTCTGACTGCAGAATTGATTGTGCAACTAGTTGTGCCCCTGTGCCTGTGGAACTGCTGGCTGAATATTATTATTATATATTTAATTTCTATACTGCCCATCTGCCCAATGGTCACTCTGGGCGGTTCACAGCAATAACAGTGGCATAAAAGAAACAACATAAAATAATCAGTGCAATAAAATTAATCTGTCTTGGTGCAAATTTTTCAATGCTTATGTAGCTTCAGGTTGTTCAGGTGTAGCTTTAGAACAAGAAAAAGTTAACAATTTTTGTGTACAGACTATAGGCCTAGGAAGCCAAAAATTTAAATCCCAGCTCAAATTCATTCTGAAACAGGATTTTCAATTAGCCAACAATAAAGAACAAAAATCTCTTCTTTGATTAAAAAATACTAAAAAACTATATCCCACTCTGAAAGTTTTCATTATTTCATTATTTCATTTCTCTCCCCCTCCCCCAATTCCAGTCATTCTAACCTTTGGAGGAAGTTCTTTCCCCGAATTTCCTCATGCATCTCAGGAAAATTAATTGAGACACAGCGCAGGGCTTTCTTATTAGCAGACCCACACATACACAGAAGAAGAACCTTCCTAAAGATGCTTGGGAGAGACAGCCTTTAGATCTGGTTCACTGGTAGATGAAGCCTGATTTTTTTTTGAAGCTTTTCCCCACTTTTTGAAGAGTTTAAAAGATCAGTTTTGCTGCTAAAATTCAGTAGCCAATTTGGTAGCAAAAGTGATAGGTGGGCTCCTGTTGTCCAGCCCTGCTTTCGAGACTTATCTTGGAGTCTATTTACTAGAGCCCAGGGGGATGTACTTTGAACCAAGCTTGACATTGATGGGATCTCAAATAAAAAGGTATTCAAAGATCTCTCAAATGTCTGTTCCCTGTAATGTGGCTCCATGTGTAACGTCTGTACTTCTAAATAGTTTGAGATTTCTTTTATTGTGAATCCATCAGTATGACTGATAGATTGGACCATAAGCATCCCAAATGCATCTCTCTTTGCCTAGAATGCTCTGTGGAAAAGTTCTGAAAATTCTAGGTGCATTGTAGCACTAATTGGGGTGGCTTAGAATCTTGATTGACTAGTGAAGTGAAGTGGCTGCTGCCACTTGCTTCTCATTGTGGGAAAGAAGAAGGAAAAAAATAGTTCCTCAGCTACTCAGAGGAGGTGGAAAAATGAAAACAGACAAAAAAAGGCAGAAGTGCTCAGTTCCTGCTTTAGCTTGGTCTTTCCCCTCTGTGACTTTCCAGATAAATGTGAAGTACAAGTGTGATGTGGATTGAAAAAAAAAGCCAATGTTACTTTGGGCCACATTATCAGAAGTATAGTCTTCAAATCCCATGAAGTATTAGTCCCCATCTATTTGGTACTGGTTAGTTCTAATCTTGACTGCTGTGTCCAGTTCTGGACAGCACACTTTACAAAGGATCCCAACAAACTGAAGCAAGTTTAGAGGAAAGCAACAAGGATGATTAGGAGACTGGAAACCAAGCCCTAGGCATAATTTGAGAAAAGAAGACTGAGGGGAGATATGATTGTTGTTGTTGTTTAGTCATTAAGTCGTTTCCGACTCTTCGTGACCCCATGGACCAGACCACACCAGGCCCTCCTATCTTCCACTGCCTCCCAGAATTTGGTCAAATTCATGTTGGTCGCTTCGATGACACTGTCCAACCATCTCGTCCTCTGTCGTCCCCTTCTCCTCTTGCCCTCACATTTTTTCCAGGGAGTCTTCTCTTCTCATGAGATGGCCAAAGTACTGGAGCCACAGCTTCAGGATCTGTCATTCCAGTGAGCACTCTGGGTTGATTTCTTTCGAAGTGGATATGTTTGTTCTCTTTGCAGTCCAGGGGACTCTCAAGAGTCTCCTCGAGCACCACAATTTGAAAGCATCAATTCTTTGGCGGTCAGCCTTCTTTATGGTCCAGCTCTCACTTCCATACATTGCTACTGAAAAAAAACATAGTTTTGACTATGTGGACCTTTGTCGGCAAGGTGATGTCTTTGCTTTTTAAGATGCTGTCTAGGTTTGTCATCGCTTTCCTCCCAAGAGGAAATTTAATTTAATTTAATTTAAATTTAATTTAATTTCGTGGCTGCTGTAACCATCTGCAGTGATCATGGAGCCCAAAGACGGAAAGTAAAATCTGTCACTGCCTCCATATCTTCCCCTTCTATTTGCTAGGAGGATTTTAGTTTTTTTGTTTTTGTTTTTTGATGTTGAGCTTCAGACCATTTTTTGCGCTCTCCTCTTTCACCCTCATTAAGAGGCTCTTTAATTACTCCTCACTTTCTACCATCAGAAGGGTGATATGATAGCACTTTTCAAATACAGTGGTGCCTCGTATAACGAGTGCACTGTTGAACGATGAATCCGCATTGCGATGCGGATTTCCCCATCGCTAATACACCCAAGATGGCCGCTGGAACAAAAAAATGGCCGCTGGTACACCCAAGATGGCCGCCAGAACACAAAAAATGGGCACTGGTACACCCAAAATGGCCGCCGGGACGCTCAAAATGGCCGCCAGTACACCCAAGATGGCCGCCGAAACAAGGGGAAACATCGGAGAACTGTGAATTTTGGGCTCAAAGTTTAATGCTTTCCAATTGGGGTTTTTGATCCGTTTTACGATGTTTTCCCATAGCGAAGGTTAATCCGGAACGGATTAACCTTGCTATGCGGGGCACCACTGTACTTGAAAGATTGTCATCCTGCTCATGAGGATGAGCAGAATCTGCTCTTCATCATCTCAGAGTTCATGACGTGTAACAATGGGCTTAAGTTATAGGAAGCCAGATTTCAGTTGAATATCAGAAAAAACCTACTTAAGAGCAGTATGGTAATGAAACCAGTTACTTTAGAAGGATGTGAGGACTTCAGTGCTGAAGACACTCAAAGGAAAGTTAGAGAATCTCTGTCTAATGTACTTTGATTTGGATTCCTGAATGAGCAGTGGGTTGGACCATACAGCTTTATAGACCTCTTCCAGTTCCATTATTTTATGATTCTATGACCTACAAGCTGGCTGGATAGCTCACTGGTTCAGGTATTTTTATTTCATTCATTCATTTAAAATATTTTTACCCCATCTTTCTCCTTAAAAAGGATCCAAGGCAGCTTATAGAATTAAAAGACAACATTTAAAGCTAAAAACAGTGAGTACAGAAATACTAAAAAGGATCAAAGACATACCACACCAAAATGGTTAATAAAAGCAACATCAAAAACACATTGAACAATTCGTTTAAAAAGCCTGCTGAGGCATCTAGTTCCTGACTGTGGAGCCAGAAATTGGGAGTTAAATTTCCCCTTGTGATTCCAATAGAAAAAGCCAGTCTGTGTAGTCATGGGCAAGCTGCACAGTCCCAGGATGTCTCAGAAGAAGGAAATGGTAACCACTTTTGTGTATTCTCTACCTAGAAAACCTTGGAAAGGATCACCATAAGTGGGAATCCATCTGACAGCACATATTTAATTATTAAATGACATACAAAGTCTGTGTTTACTTACATATGTCACTTGCTTATGTGTTTCCTAAAATCCCAAGATTCAGTTCGTCTTTTTCTTCTGTGTACAGTATAGCCTTTCTGTTGGCTATAAAAACCTGTATTGTAATTATCTGTCTACCAGGAGGAAGAAACTTAATATTTCAGTGCAGTAGTGTGCCCAATAATGTATAGAAGAACAGAAATGGAATCTGGATTTACCTATCTTTTCCTTCTAGCTTGACTGCAAAACATACTTTTATGTGTTTCCATTGGTACTTTTCCTTTGGGCACCTGTGGAAATATTTCCCTTTTGAAAAACAAGGCAACAAATGCTTTGGAGGTGTTTCATAGATACACTAGTGTTTTCTGATACTTCGTTGTTTGCCTCTATGCTGAGAAACAGGGATGTGGGATTAGAGGCTCATGACTTGAAACAAAGCTGAGGAATTATCATAAAGCTGGGAGAACTGACATACTTTTACAATCAGACATTGTGGAACTTCCTGAATACAGGATCAGTATAACACCTAGTTCTGGACACAGAGATCTGCCTGTTGGGTTCTGCAAACTAATAGCATTGTGAAGGGGTATTGCCTATCTGTCTAGGGATCTGCTCTTAGACAGTTTCGCTGTCTGTTCAGGCAGTTTAAGTTGTGCCTTAAGCAAAATTCAAATTCTAAAGCAAATTCAAAGATTACAAAACACAATAAGCCACCAATGATTGGCATGGAATTCTACTGCCAAAGGGAACAAACCTCTGTAGCCAGGGTCCATCCTGCAAAAGTACCTGTAAATCCCACACCCCTGTAACTTATCAACAGTAGGAACACCAGAGAGAGTGTAGCACAACAGTATTCTCCCCTCCTCCTCCTTAAGTGTCTGTACATTCCTTTTTCTTTCTTAATTCTGGTCCTTTGTGAGGTTATGTTGTACTTCTGCATTCACTTCCTTGTTTGTTAGTTCTCTGAAAATGTAAGGCTTCAGGCATCAACAGATACACTGCTATCCCAGAGGCATTCAGCTTTCTTTAAATCCACTATGTTTCTGAGTCATAAAATGGACTTATATTCCCGTTTATGTTGAATAGTCAAAGATGGACTACTGATCTTCATTGCCATCATGCCTAAGCTACCTGCACTTCTTGCTGAAGTGAGAATCATATTGCATAGTTTTTGTGGGCTTGTTCATGCAATATTTGCATGATAGAGATTGCTTATTATAAAATTAAAACTCTGTATTGCTTTTGTTTTAGCATCTCCAATAAAGTAGATTCTACATTCTGTCACACATTTAATGTTAAAAAGCCCCTGAGGAACTTCTGCTAGATTCCATTTTCCAACAAGAGGTTTCTGTCATTTTGATTGACAAGCAGTTCTGATACTAGCATTTGTCTTTCTCTCCCATCCACCCCACCAGAAGAGAGCAGTTTTCCAGGAACAAACCATTATTGATATGTAATTGGATGATGTTCTTTAATTCACTGATTAATTCTCATTTCAAGTTTGCTAAAACATACTGAAAACTCTCAGTCAGAGAAAGTGTTAATAATCTTATTCATGCACCAAGCTTGAAAGAAATATTATATACTGAGAAGGTCTCCTACTCAAGTAGGTGAAGTATAATGGTAAGAATGTTGGCACAGTCCCATTCATTGGAGTATGGCTTCTGAAGAATGGAAGATGTCCTGTGCTTCTCTTTTTCAATTTGATTGCAATAATTCTGAAAACATGTTCCCCCCACCCCTGTCCCTGTATGTGTTTCTTTTCTCAGATTATGGATGGTGTTCAGTCTCTTCAGGATACAATAATACGAGGGGATAATAGACTTTCCAAAGCCATGGTTCACAATGGTTCTTTGCATGTCACTCTTCTGGTGATGCATTTGCCCAGTGAAGCAGTAATTGATGAGTAAGTGCTTTATTCTGAAATTAAATCTGCCTAGTTTGTGGTGAGGCTTGGGAAAAGGAAATAATATAAAACAATAATAGAATAAGGGAAAGAGAACCTATCAATCTACGTTCTGTTAAGATACCTTAATACTGTATTCTCAAAGGCTTTCACAGTTGGCATCTAATTGTTGTTGACGGCTTTTTGGGCTGTTTGGCCATGTTCTGGAGGTTTTTGTTCCAAACATTTCGCCAGTCTCTGTGGACAGCATCTTCAGAGAACAGGAGCTAGAACTCTGTCTATGTTTTGGTGTAGTGTGTGGGATTGTTGAGTATTTGTGGGATTGTTGCTGGGTAGGGGAAGGAATGGCGGTGGGGGTAAGACATGCCCGCGTAGGAGAAGAGAGGTTTGATATCTTACATCTATCCCCTCTTCTAGTCCTGCCCCCAACCAGATGGTATCAGGCGACCATATCAGCAAACCCTTGAGCCACACGGTGCTGTTGATGGACGCCAGGTCAGTACAAAATAAAACTGCCCTCATCCATGATGTAATTCTGGATGAGGCTGCTGACCTGGCGTGCATTACTGAGACCTGGGTGGGAGAGGAGGGTGGTGTTCCCCTCTCCCAGTTGTGTCCGCCTGAGTACTCGGTCCAGCACCA